AAGTTGTTCTCGCCTGACTTCAGCCGTGGACAATTGACGTCTGACATTTGAGCCAGGAATTTTGGGGAACGAGGATTATCCTAGGATGCAGGGGGTGGGGGATAGATCTGGACCTTGACCTTGGGAGCCCCCTGTCAGGGGAAGAGGGGTGAGAAGAGGAGTAGCTGGGGAAGAGACGTGCGGGAACCCAGACCCACAGAGGATGAAAGGACCTAGACAGAGAGGCAAGGAAAGAGCAGAAAGATGTGACATCTTTCCCAGCTCAAAGAACCAAGATGGGTATCTTTACAGAACTTTGGCTCATCCAAGCCAGAAGCTTTGCTCACGGTCCAGGACACAGAGACAGGAGACAGACTTATCTGAGTCCTGAGAGCCACTGTTGAAGGCAGAGCTGCTGTGGCAAGCATCCCCCTCTGCCTTTATCTTGTCGCCTTTCGAGTGCAGTGTGAGCCGGCAGTGTGAGAGGCTGCCCTCCAGTGGGTGGGGACCAGCAGAAGATATGAGGGTTTCTCCCCCATGGGGAAGGCATGGAATGGTTTTCAGTATGTTCCTGTACTTGGTGCTAGTCACCCATGAGATGGTCACTTCAGAACCTCAGTAATTCTGAACATTCAGTGCTGTCCCAACTTTACCCACAAATGCTAGACTGAATCAGGGCCTGAAGGATAATCATATTTTTATCCCCACAATTGCAGCAAAACATACCGTCCAAGAAGCTGTGCTGTCCAACAAGATTGCAGGGTGGGGTGATGTTAGAAAGATAGTGAGAACATCAAAAGAGCAGCAAGCATGCACTGGGGACTTGTTTGTGTGACGGCACCAGTGTTCTCTCTGGTGGACCTTACAAGAGCTATAAAAGAAAAAGAGTCTCTTCATGCCCATCACATAGAGGAAGAAACAAGGATAAAACCCACTGAACAATGCTCAAGGTGATCTACCTAGTAAGACTCGCCAGCATAGCATTTATCAAAAAACACAAGGTCCCTGGGCTCTTCACCACTGTCATTCAAATACATAAGACTGTGAACCGCTCCTTCATTTCTCCTCCCTAAGTGAGTTCAGCCATTTCTTCAAAAGAAAACAAAGAGGCTGGGAAGTTGGATCAGTGAGTAAATTGCTTGCCATGCGAGCATGAGAACCTGAATTTGGATCCCCAGGACCAACGAAAAAGGAAGGCATGGAGGCCTGTGGCTAATCCCCCACACTAGGGAGGTAGAAGGCAGGAAGATCCCTTAGGCTTGCTGGCCACCCAACACAGCCAATCCCTATAGTGGTATGTTATTTGTATTTTAACTAAATCTTGACTGAAGGCCAGAAGCAAAGCTAAAGCCATTATAAGTCAGGTAATGGTGACACACACCTCTAATCCCAGGGATTTGGGAGACAGAGCCAGATGGATCTCTGTGAGTTCAAGGCCACCTCAGGCTACGTAGACCCACGCAGAAACAAATTCAGGTGGTGGTGGCCTACACCTTTAATCCCATCCAAGGGAGGCACACACCTTTAATCCCAGCACTAGAGGAAATATAAAATGAGATATATATAAAATGTTATATATATAACAGACTTAGTCTGTTTAGTTTTGTGGTCACCCAGTTTTGGTAGAGGTACGACTTCTCTAGTGGCTTGGCTGCTTTGTTTTTCTGGTTTGGGGGTTGGTTTAATTATTAAAATACAAATCATATGCCACTATAAATCCCTGAGCTTCAGGTTCAGTAAACCTGTCTCAGAACTTAAGATGAAGGACAACTGATGGAGATGTAAACATTTGGCCTACACACAAAACGCGAATATGGACAAATTCACACACATGAACATGTACACACATGAACATGTACACACAAAAAATAAATTGGAAAAAGTTCTTCCAAATACAGTCTCCCTCTTCCTTCAAGCCCACACAGAGGAGACTGGACTAAACGTGCCTGCCCCCTTTCATTTGTCACGCTCTGTCCCAGGTAGGATTGCCCCTTGTGCTGAGGTAGATGAGGCATGCGTTACTTGACCCAGTCTGGCTGTGAGGTCACATTATTCCAACCCTGACTTTTCCATGTTCTCATTCTCCAAAGTCCCAGAATAACAGGACACTTAAACCTCCCTCACATCCGAGGAAGGTGGGAAACAGTTAAACCAGAACCACTCGTGACCTCTGCAGTGAGCCCCAGGTGCTTCCCAAGCTGGAGCAAGGTGCTCACACCACTGTTACCAGCCTAGGATGGAGAAGAGTCATTCTGTGGTGTGGCAAGATGTTTCCGCCCTCATTGGGTGTCTGTGGCATACTCTCAAGAGGAATCTTCCATCTGGAGTAACTACTCTCCAGGAACCTGTCCTAAAGGGCGAGGCTGTCCCCGGGGCTGCAGAGTACAACAGGAGCCCCGATGGCAGCTTCTGTGGGCTTTACTCTACAATATACAGCGCTTCCAGTGTTTGCAAACACCTGAACTTCACAATAAGACATTGGTAGGGGGAAAGAGACAGTAACAGTCAAGACTTTCGCAGCTCAGGTACTTCAGGGTTCCATTAAGCTGCAAAAGGGAATCCCATCTCTGTCCCCTTTCCTCGAAACCCTGTCTTCCCTCATTCTCAGACTCAGGAGCTTCATCATTACGGCTGTTCTCACCCTTCCACAAAACCTCCCCTTCCTCTTACTTTAGCAGCAGGACCCACTTCCCCCAGGAGGTTCCCTAATCACCATCCTGGATAGAGAGTAGGTGGGAAACAGCTGGCACAGAGAAAGTCCCATCACCCTCAGGGTCCATCCTCAGGCTCTGCGTGTTTGGGGGAGCCTATCTTGGTGATAATAAAACTAAAACATCAAGTCCAGGCTCTGGTTAAGCAAAAGCAATGAGCTTATGGTTTTGCCCTCTCTATCAAGTGGGGGACTTTGCTATACTCAGCATTGGGACAGGCATGGGGCACGTGCTCAGGCAAGTTGTATTGGGTCACTATTAATGTGAGCCAAAAGAAAAAAAAGAAGGTACACCATTCCTGGTACCTTGCAGAGACCCCAGAGTCTAGGGTAGAGCCCTCGTCACCCCATTCATACTCTCCTCCAGCCATTTACTGCTCATTCCGAACCAGCACAGGGTAGGGCTGAGAACACTCCAGATCATTCAGGCCCAACCCTGACCTTGAGCAGTCCAAGGCCCAGGGGTCTCTGATGCTCCAATATTGGAAAGGAAAAAGGGAACTTGCACCCAGCAATTTACATCTAAGTGACAAAGACCAGGTCCCAAGTAGGAGGTATGCAAATGGGTTCTTTTGCTCTCCACTTGCTAGGCTTCTCCAAGGGTCGGGGTTGCTATCTGGAAAGCAGATTGTGTCTGCAGTGCTTGGTGGATATGGGACAAAATGAGATCCTTTAAGATGAACAGTTACAGGCTCCTTTCCTTCCCCCAGATAGGGAAGGAGCTAAGTGGCCACCTGCAGCTCCTCTTTTAACCTGCTTCCTTCCCACAGGGCCAGTGCCCTCTGGAGCTTTCCTTCAGTTGTTCGAGGCTAAAGCTGACATTTCATGTTACAGGCCCAGTTACCTGTTTCCTAGGAAACAAGGGATAATGCTAACTTTGCAACAGTCTTCCCTCCACCCCCTAACATACACACACACATACACACACACACACACACACAGAGAGAGAGAGAGAGAGAGAGAGAGAGAGAGATACACACACACACACACACTCACACATGCACTCACACGAGTCTATCAGCAATGGCAATTTAAAATAAAGTACAAGTTAGTTACTAAAATTAGCTTTCATATCACCTTGTGTTGCTGCTTCCTGCCACCTGGACACCTAGGCACAGAAGCACAGACACCTGTAAGGCGCACTTTCCAAAGGGCAGGCCCAAGGCCCCTCTTTGCAGCCTACCCTGCTTCTTTCCAAGAGACAGAAGAGGTGGTCCCCCTCTTGGGGTTCTTCCTCCCTCTGAATGACTTCTCTTCGGCTTCTTTCTCAACCCCAAGACTGTCCCCAGAGCCCCACATTCTGCATGTCCATCTCCTCCTCATCTTGCCCCCCACTTGCCACTCATAGACTCCTTTCTATGGCACCTCAGTTACTCAAATCAGAAACCAGGACATCTCCTCATCCCTTTCCTCTCACCTGTGCTGTGTGTCCCCGAGCTCCTGCCCGTGAGTACACCTCCACCTTCCGTCCATCTACACTGTGTATCTCCTCTACTTGCAGCAGGCCATGGGCTCCAGGTACCTGCATTGCTGCCCACAGTCTTCCAGGTGACTTGAAAGAGAAACAAGACTCAGGGCGCATCCTCTTCGTCTCCCTGGGTGGAATCAGTGGCTTCCTCCGTGCTCCACAGCCCTTCTCACCTCTGGCACGGCGGCGCTCATAGGGCATTAATTACTGCGCATGCTCATGTCATCCTTACTCGGTGCCAGGAGTCGCTCGGAGAGCTTTCCCGGATGTCTAGATGTGTGTCTCTTACCTGGCTCCTCAGCTTCCCGGGGACCTCAGGGAGGGAGTCCCACTATGGACTCAACATAGAAGTGACTTACAGTGAGACTTCCCGGTGGCTGTACCATTGAATCGCTTCTGTCACCCCAGCATCTAGACGAGTGCTTAGTGAGTTTTCGTGGAGTAACTAAAGGCATGCTGCATTGAACTGGTACCTAGTCCCCCACAGAGATGTTCTCTTGGTGTGTTTTCCTGCCTGTTGTCCTTCCAGAGTGCCTGATGGTTTCAAACTGGCTTTTTATTTTATTTTATTTATTTTATTTTATTTGTGTGTGTGTGTGATTGGTTGGCAAATAGGGCTGTGTGGGGTTTGCCTCCTCATCACATCCTAAGCATAGATTTTGTTCCATCACAAAAATGATGGAGCACTCGCAACTACTAAACAGAATGGTGTTCCAGCGACCACAAAGAATGCATCTGGGCCCCCGCTCAAGAGGCGGCAAGCACTCAGCACTACAGCAGGGAGGGTGTGGGGTTTGTGGACATCCTGGTGACTGCGGTGTCCGTGTCTTCTTCTTGGTGCAGCATTACTTCACAGTGAACTTCACCCATGAGAACCAGAAGGCGCTGGAGCTGAGGACTGAGGACGCAAAGGACTGTGACGAGTGGGTGGCAGCAATCGCTCACGCCAGGTATGCCTCACCCTGTTAAAGGATCGCAGCGGAGACCAGACCAAGCAAACTTCTGCCAGTCCAAGCCTTAGGACAAGGAGGTGGAAAAGAAGGAGAAGAGGGTGTAGGTGCTGGAAAAGCCTTGGCTGCCCCAGAGAACGAGATTGCAGATTCCTATTCTGTTCTAACCACATAGTTCCATCTCTTGTATGTGCAGCCACCAGTTTGACGTGTGACCATGAATTAGTCCCCTGTTCTTTTCTGAACTAAAACTAACCACGCCCTGGCAGAGCTAAGCACCTGTCAAGTGTAGCACACCAGTCAGCTGACCCTCTAGACAGCTGATCTCGCTGACCTAGTAAATAATGTGGTGCTAGTGTGTCTACCTTCCTATAAAATGTGAACTTCTGAGGTCAGGAGCAAGGTGTGACTCTGCGTTCGGTAAAAACACAGAAAATGTGTCCAGCAGATGGGAGGCGGGAGAATGCAAGGACAAATGGAAGGAGGGAGGGTGGATACAGGGCTGAAGGTTGAAAATTAGTGATTAATGGAAAATTAGTGAGAGATGAATGAAGGATAAAATGATATGGATGAGTGTTTGAAGTATACGTGGAGGGTGGAAGGACAGATGAATAGATGGATCCTGTGATCCTTGAAACTCCTTTGCCCAGAAACCTATGTAGCGACTCTCGCATGTCCTTAGCCCGAAGATCGTGCCATCCCCATTTCTGTCCACAAAAGTTATCCAGTCTTAGCTACAAAGACCAAGTTCTATTAGCAAAAGCAATAGACACAAGTCTAGTATAAAGTCCTAGGGAGCTGGAGCTGGCCACCACACAAGTATTCCCCTGAGAGATAACAGGGTTTGGAGAGTGACGTCATTTCCATCTTCAGGGAAACAGGGGTAGGAAGATTTGATGGGTTTAAATATGAGCATCTCAACAACGATACTTCCCTCCCTCCCTTCCTTCTTCCCTTCCTCTCTCAAGAAAACACACACACACACACACACACACACACACACACACACGAGTCCTCTTATTTAAAGCATTGATACATGGAAGACAATTTAAAGAAGAATGAGGAGATAAAGTTTAGATGTTAAGAAGCAGCTGAGGGCCAGTGATGAGAGAGCTCAAATGATAAAGGCCCAGCCCACCAAGCCTGAGGGCTTAGGTTTGATCACTGGGACCAACTTGGTGGAAGGAGAGAAAGGGAATGTTATCCTCTGGCTTCCACAGGTAAACACACACACACTCACAACATGTAATATAAAAAAAATTAAAGCATATGAAGTGGACAGTTGGCTGTCATGAGATCATAAATGTCCACAAATTTCCTGTGAAGATGTTTGTCCTTTCTTCTATGAACCACAGGAGCCACTGAAAGTCTTATACCAGGAGAGTAACATTACCAGAGCTGATTTAGACTAAAAATTTCTGGGTTGTTCAAGATGAAGTTGAGAAAAGAAGTACCTAGGTTCAAGGAGAGCAATTGCACCTCAGCCTTCCCGCTTCAAAGGAGAAACAATAACAAACAGGGCTTGATTTTGAGATCAAAACATTTCATTTGAGGATCAAATGAAATCATTTACATAAAGGAACCTCATAAATATTTAAGCCCTAGAGGGGCCTTATTTTGCATTTGTTTATTTACTTTGTGGGAGTCACACATGCCACACCGTACATGTGGAGGTCAGAGGATAATTTGCAGGAGCTGGTACTCTCTTTCCACTACGTGGAAACCAGAGTTCAAACACAGGTCAGCAGGCATATGGCAAGTACCCTTTACCTGCTGAGTTGGCTTATGGGCACTGCATTAGAATTTTAATTCATTATTCATCAATACAGAATCGATACAATTTCTAGAGACAATGCAATCGCAGTGTCTATAAGGTAGGTGACTAAGATGAAGACAATGGACAACACCAAATGCTGGTGGAAGGCTGAAAGGACACAGGCAGCACCATAGGGTGAGAAACAGCACAACCAGACTGGGACATGACCCGGCAGCTGCTTACCATATGCTCCCTCATCTATTAATTCCATTCCTTGGTACCCATCCAAAAGAGATGGGAAATGACCACAAAAAAATCTCCTCTGTAAATGTCCTTAACAGCCTTATGCGAACCATCAGCTATGATGTCTGTAAACAAGCTAATATATAAACAAATCTCTCGTGCATCCGTGCAACAGACTTGTGCTGAGAAATAAACATGAATCAGCTACAGTTATGTACTACAAAATGGATGAAACTCAAAATCAATATGCTGAGTAGAGATAGCAAAAAATATGTGCTGTATGATTTCAGTTATATGAAATTCTAGATGAGAGAAAACTAAACAGGGTGAGGGAAACCGGAACAGCAGTCGCTTCTGGGGTGGGAATAGAGTGGGAAGTGCTTCCTCGGTCCTAGAAATTATCTTTGCCTTGATGAAGGGTTTACACTTTTCTCTCATAATCGTTCACTCTGTTACTAGTGTTTGTTTCCTGGACCAGGTATGTCCAGGCCCTTAGTATCTTGTTCAAAAAACTGAAAGGCTCACACAAAACTGTAAAAGTAGCAAAGCAGTAGAAGACGTCTGATACTCTGTTAAGAGAGACAGTGGGTCCCAAGAGTGAGAAGACTCATGGCCCAATCATTGTTTAGCACCTTCCTTCTATGGGGTTCAAATAAAGGACAAAATTTTGTTGCTTAAGGGTGTGGGTGGACTTTTGTCTTGATCAATATATTAAGTTATAGACGTCTTTTCTGCTGCACATGTCCTTTCGATAATTCATCTGATTTTGGTCACATGATTTTCCCTAAAAGTTCACTTTAAGAATGTAGTTGGCCTTATTGCAAATGCACCCGAAGCTAGTTCAGACCAGATCGACCTTCCTACTCTACACCAGAACATAACTAGAGTATGACTGAATCGAATCTGTCTAAGTTTGATAGTTGTTAAGGAAAAGAGAAACAACAACTGCATTCTTCAGAGGGGATGAGCAAGTAAAGCAGTGCAGATGGGAGTCCTAGGTTATTAACAGGTTGCCAAGTGAGTTCCCTAAAGGAGTGTGTATGTGTCTGTGTGTCTGTGTGTGCCTGTGCGTATACATGTGTGTGCCTCTGTGTGTGTATGTGTGTGTTATATGCAAATAAGAATTTCAGGCTATCAAGTGCACTGTTAAAAGAGAGTTGTTGGTATATCCTAAGCCAAGTGAGGTCTCAAGTTGCTTAACTATTTCCTTCCTCAACACTGTGACGTTAGGATCTGTGCTTTCCCCAGTATATGTATTGAACCTCATATTTTTAAATTGAACGATGAATATTAAAATGATTCAGTTTTCTGTTGATGCATAACAAGTTACCAAAGACTTGTCAGCTCGATATATCCTTTCATTATTTTGTGGTTCTGTGGATCAGAAGTCCAGGCTCAACTGAGATTTCTGCCCAGTGCCTTGTGAGGCTGAAATCAAGGTCAGGTCATTAAACTATGAGCTTTATTCAACCTCCACCTGAGAACCAGAGAGAAAGAGAGAGAGAGACAGAGACAGAGAGACAGAGAGACAGAGAGAAATACAGAGACAGAGAGACAGAGACAGAGACTGAGAGAGAGACAGAGAGAATGTGCATGCATGTACATATGTGGATATGCATGTGTTACAAGAATTCCTTCTCTGGGGAGAAGTAAAAAAAAAAAAATCTACCTTGTCTTTGTAAAGTCCCAACCAGAAAATCAAAGGTGCTACAGGATTCACCCTGGGCAATGAACAAATTTATTGGGCTCAGTTACAGAGCGTTGAGGGATTACTGGCAGGACTGTACAGCACCCACACTGGAAAGTCTTCATTCAGTATAGATTATGACTTTCCCATAGTCACAGAGATGAAGCCATCTTCTGTCAACTTTCCCCAGACAATACACTCTTAACTCCTTCCCGCACCCCAAGGCCACATGTAAAAATGACCACGAGGAAGCGGCTGGAGTCTCTGGTGAAGATCTAATGACCCTCACCACCCTTTCCTTCTATGACAGAATATCAACTTGGAAGACCACATTCTACAACAGTGTGTGTGCATGCATGCGTGTGTGCGTGCGTGCGTGCGTGCGTGCGTGTGTGTGTGTGTGTGTGTGTGTGTGTGTGTGTGCAGCAGTAGCAACAATAACTGGCTCTCTGCCACAGCCATATTGGGTATGAAGCATTTTTACATATCCGCAATTTAGTTTTATTTACATATACTTAATAGAAACACTCCGTGTATAAAAATAAGCACTGTGGTGTATTAATAGTCATGTAGAGACACAATGTTCTCTCACACTGTATGTATCACAGTCTAGTATTATGGGATGCCTCTGTAGTGTATGTGTATAGTCATTTATAAGATAAAGCAGCCAATATGCTTCATACTCAGCATATTAGCAAGAACTAGATGCCAGGCCAGGGGACAGAGAGACTGAAATGCCCTCTCAGGTCCTAGGGCTGATTCCACCTCCAGCTTTGACACTGACCAACTGCTGTTCTAAGCAAATTGCTTCTCCTTCCTGGACCTCAGTGTCTGCATTGAGTAAATCATACGGTCAACTTTTCATGACCCCTGACTTTTCTTCTAGTTCTGAAAGTCCATGAATTCATAAAGACTGCACACACCAGGAGTGGCTCAGTCTCCACTGGAAGGAGGAAGGAGAAGGGGGAGGAGAATGTGAAGAATGGGGTGCTGGGGGGGATAGAAAAGGGGCAAAGGGGGGGAAGTGATGTTTTTCTCATTGTTGCTTCTGTCGTTACCAAATACTTGAGATAATCAGCTTAAAGGAAGAAAGACCTAATTTGCTTCATGGTTTCAGTCCATAGTTGGCTGACTCCATGAAATTTAGGCCTGTGTTGGGACATAAACAGCTTATCAGAAGGGTGTGGCCAAGGGAAACTGTTCCCCTCAAAGCAGCAAGAAGCAAGACCTGTGGGACAAGCACACCCTTCAGAGAGATTCCCCAGCAACCCTCTTCCTCCAGTTAGACCTAACCTTTCAGCTTCTACTACCTCCCAACAGTCCATTCAATGATGAATTCATCAAAGGCCAGGCCACTGATTAGGTCAGAGCCCTCACAATTGTTCCCCAAAGCCCATCTACTGGCCACCAAGCCTTTAAACATCAGCCCATGAGGAACATTCCAGACTAAAGCATAATATTCTTCCCTTAGCCCCCAAAGGCCCATGGCCATCTCACAGTGTAAAATGTATTTACCATGTCCCCAAAGATCCCCAGTCTTAATAGCCCCAGAATTTCTCAGAAAGCTAAGTCTAAACTCTTCAGTGACTCAAGGCAGCAGCCACTGTTAACACCTATAAAATAAAAAAGGAAGTCATGGACTTCTAACATACAACAATAAGACCCTCCCCCCTTGACAAAGAGAGAAATAGGAACATAGAAAGAGGAATGAGGCCAACACCCAGTCAGACAAACATTATACCATGTAGCTCCATGTCTGGGTATCAAGGCCATGTCTTGAGCATATCCAGGATCTGGGGCATGGTATAAGCTCCCATAAGCTTGGAAAATCCCATCCCTGTCATCTTTTCTGGCTGTGGATCTATATTGTTACCGTCTAGGGCTCTTGACCAGGTTCATTTCTTTTGTCGGTTAAAGAATTAAAAGTCAGGAAAGAAATTCTCCATCATAACAGGTAGCCACAGGGAAATTCTCAAGCCAGTTCTGACCTAATCAGTGGACTGACCCAGGATAAATTCATCATTGAAGGGACTGTTGGGAAGTAGTAGAAACTGGAAGGTTAAGGCCGATTAAAGGAAGTGGGTAGCTGGGGAGTGAAGGGTGTTAGCATGCAGGCAGTCAAGAAAGGCTTTTATCGGAGGTGAGGAAATGTGGACACACAGCAAGCACACAGAGCAAAGAGCCTCTGCAAAGCAGAAGGAGGACTGGGGAAGCTGAAGCGCAGCTTCTCCTTGAGGACTGGGATAGTTTAAAGTCCCTTACCTAACATAGGGTTGCTCAGTTTGAAGAAAAAGGAACAGCTGATTGGCCTGCAGGTGTTGTGTAAAAATGTCCTGATGCAGTCTGGGACTCCTTGAGTCAAGAGTCAGCCCTAATGACAGGAGAAAATTTCCATAAGACATTTTAAAAAAACCTCTCAGGTGTATGTCTCAAGTCATGAGGGTGAGAGAGAAGCCAACCATCTTGGAAGTTCACCATCTTTATTACCTAGCCATGGCCTCTCTCACTCTCTGAATGCCCCAGGTAGTGTGTCAACTCCTGGTTCCTCGTGACCTCTCAGAAGCCCCTGTTGGCTTCCTAACACTCTCCTGGTCAGATGTCACCCATTCTTGGTATCTCCAACCTCCTGAGGGCTCCAAGAGCTCCATACCCTACTCTCACAACTTCATCCTCTCAGGGACTACCCACAGGGTCTCTGATCCTCCATACTGTCTAGCTTCCCAAACCTTCTTTTGACATCTGGGTGGAAACCTCTGGGACCCAAAACTCACATCCTGCATGCCTCTAAAACCAGTGTCCTATAGCTAAGACCAGATTCTGCCACTGGCTCCAGCAGCAGCCACAACCAATTGCCTTACACTTGCAGCTGTCTCCGAGTACTTAGTGATTGGATGTAGGAACGGACTTCCATAGGTTCCCTGTGGCTTCTCAAAGCAAGGTCTTTCAAATATCCTTGAGCTTATAGTGGGTGAAGTCTGGTGTGTGTGTGTGTGTGTGTGTGTGTGTGTGTGTGTGTGTGTGTGTCCCCGTTCAGGTCTCTCACTGGGCAGAAGCTCTCAAAATAGGCTAGGCTAGATCTGTCCACCTCTACCTCACCAGTGGTAGCATTACAAGCACACACCATCATGGCCTGTTTTATTTATGTGTATTTTTAATTTGGGTTGTGCAGATTGAACTCAATTTCTCACTCTTGAGTGGCAGGTGCTTCTCTGACTGAGCCATCTCCCCTGTCCAGTGGCCTCTTTGACAGTGCTAATCTCTGCAGCAGCCCTGCTGTTCTCGGCCCCAGCTTTCCCTGCACTTATTTCCTGACACATAAGACTTTACATTCAAAGCATAATAGGAGAGGGGGGTGAATAAAGGAGGAGACATACAGGAAGGAGAAAGGGAGGTAGAAGAGAGGGAAAAGGATAGGGAAAAGAAGGAGAAAGAGGGAACAAAGAGGAAGGAGTGGGACAAGGGAAGAAGAAAGGAGGAAAGGAAGAGGAGGATAAGGAAGATGGAAGGGAATGGGGGAGGGAATGCAGGCAGACAACCTGCAGAGGAGACTCCTTCCGGAAGCACTGGAGTGTCTTCCATTAGAAAGTCTAGACTAATGAAGAAGCTGTGCTTCGTACTCCTGTGCAGACTCCTTGCTCTCAACTGAATTTTGCTTGCAAGTGAAGACAATTAAGTAACCGAGTAATCTGGAAAGTCCTTTGAGTCTGTGTTCATTTTCACAAAAGAAGCGCCCAGATCGCCATTTTAATCTCTCTCATAGTGCTACGTTGGGATGGCATCTCTCACAGTCCGTTACTTAAGAAAGGGTGGTGCTGAGAACAGAGATCAGTTCTCTGGACCACAGTTTCTTCCCCAGGTTCCTTCCTTGCAACAGCTGTCCTGAGCCTGATGGAGCAAGCCTTTCCTGCTATGCCCTCCTGCCCTCGGGATATGGCTACAGTTAGCCTCCTCCCAAGAAGGCATCTCTGGCATCATCAGAGAATAGGACCCTCTGTAGCTAACCTGCCTACTTCAGCACCTTGGCATGGCCCTTCTTTAGTACAAGGTTACTTCTGCCATGGCCTCCTGAGAGTCTCACCTGAAACGCTGAGGGCCATAGAGCTTTTGTGAACTCATGTGACAGGCTCCTGAGGCGAAGTCAAAGACCTCCCTTCCCGGCTTGATCCCACTGGTGCCAGAAGCTGACAGGTTAAAATCAGTCTCACATTCCATCGGTCTCACCAGTAGGAGAGAGTGGGTGACCCCAGAGTTGGAGCCAATTGCTATGGGTGCTAAGAACCAATGCTATGCTGACAGGATGCAGAAAGTTCTGGGAGACACTGGAGAGATGCTCTTTCAATAAGGCATGCTCAGCAAGTGGGAAAGAAGGTGGCAGATACCTAGAAGGACAACCTTAAGGAAGAAAAGTTTATTTTGGTCATGTTTCTGCAGCTTTGATCCTCCGCTGGCTCTGTTGTTGACTGTGGTAGGGCAGATCATCATGATGAGAGCTGGAAGCAGAATGAAGCTGTTCATTGCATGGCCACCAGAGGCAGACAGAGTGAGTGTCCTGGAAGCTGGTGCCACTCACAGTTAAAACAAATTCTCCCAGCCCTTCCTTCACTAGTCATCGCTAGACACTCTCTCACCAATACATTGAGATGTGTGCTTTCCTAGCATCCAAGCCATCTCAAGCTGTCACTTTGACAGTCGGGATTATCCATCACAGAGCGAGTAGAGTTAGGGAGGTGGAGGGACAGCTTGGTTTGTTCTAAAGCGGTGCGGACTTGAACTTTTTCTGGATCCTGGGATGGAGTGTGATGGAATAGAGGCAGTTTGCTCTGACAGAGACCCTGCAGAGGGCTTTAATGGGCATATGAATTATCCTGGGCTCTGCCAATCAGAGGAAGGAAAGGAGAGCCCCTCACTATCACTAAGAAAGGAGACACAGACCTTGCTTAGTGAGGAGAGGGCAGGAGGACAGAGCAATCGGTAGGGGTGACAGGGGAAAGGCAAAGAGATGACTCTGGGGTGATGGTGGGATGAAGTAAGAGGAAGAATTTGAGGAATAGTGAGGGATATATACCTAGACCTATTTATCCCTGAGAACTCTAACCTTTCCCTTCCAAGGCCCTTCCCTTTCCCTGACCTTGACCAGATCTGGATAGACACCTTCCTCTGAGATGCTGGAGTCCTGTTCAGCAAGCCCCTCTGCACACTGGGCCTCTTCCACAGCGGTGATGCACTCTGATGGCCTTGTTATATCAGGAGAGGTCCAGACCCAGAACACAAGGGACCGAGGTCTCTCTTCAGGGGGTGACTTCTAACCTCCATTCCTGCTCTGCCATTCTGCCCATCTGTGTGCCACATGTTAATTTAGGAATCTGACGAGATACCTCCTCTCCTCCTTTGAGACTCTCTTTGCTCTGGTGCCACCTAAGCACTTCCCCTCATTATCAATTCCTGCCAGCATAAGTGTCCAGCCAGGGCTGCCCTAAAGTGGTGCCCAAGGAACTAGGTTTGAAGCCAAAAGCCTCAGCTCCAACTTGGTGGTGTGTCTCCTAGGAAGTCTTCCCTGATCACAGTCCTCATTGCTGGTCCTCTCCTTCTTAGCATACACTAAGGTCCCGTGACTCACTACCTGACACTTCTGTGTCTGTGCAGTGTCTTCAGGTATCACCCAAACAATGAGATGTCTGTGCCTACTTGTCCTCTGTATATCCCAGGAGCCCTGAGGTATGCATCTGTAGCCACCCTTGCAAGCAGCAAGTGTCCACTGAGCACTCTTTAGGCACACAGTATATCCACCTCCATCACCACACTACTAGAAGCTCAGGTGCTGAAAGAAGACCCCTGGAGGAGCCCACCAAGGCAACTCAGCTGAATCCCAGAAGTAGCCTAAGAAGCGTGGAGTTAAGGAAAGGGACGAGGGTATATTTCAAAATGCTTATCTACCTTGAAAACGTCCCAGGAGGAGAGAGAGTGTGTGTATGTGTGTGTGTGTCTGTCTTTCTGTGTGTGTGTGTGTGTGTGTGTGTGTGTGTGTGTGTGTGTGTAATATAGAGGGAGAAACAGAGACAGGCAGAGAGAGACAGAGAAAGATAGAGATAGAGAGAGAAAGAGAGACAAAAAGAGAACATAACCAAGAGAGTCAGGCTAATAAAAGAGTCAGAAGATTATAGGCAATGGGTGTGTAGGGCCTAGAGACAGGGGCAGCTTCTTACCTGCCATGCACCTCTGTCCACAGCTACAGGACACTGGCCACGGAGCATGAGGCGCTCATGCAGAAGTACCTGCACCTGCTGCAGATAGTAGAGACAGAGAAGACGGTGGCCAAGCAGCTGCGACAGCAGATCGAGGACGGCCAGATCGAGATCGAGCGACTGAAGGCAGAGGTGACTGCAAGCCAGGGGTCCCCAGGCCAGGTCAAACCCCAGACTCCTCCCACCTCTGTGCTTACCAAGTACCACCTGAAGTGTGTCCCCCACTTCTCTGCTCCTGAGTTGTTTCATATAATATAGGGTCTTTGCTATGACCAAACCAGGTGATAAGAATGAGTGAAATGTTTAATAGCTAAGTTATTAAGGACACATTAAATGTCGCCATTGTCAGCCCCAGACTCTGGAGTACCGTATCACCTGTAGTCATTACTGCAAACTCTCTCTGTACCTTCACCAGATGCACAAGTATCAAATGATAAATCCACAGGCTTTTGCTGTATGCCCCTGATGACGAGATCAAGTTTTTCCTATGTATGGCCTCATTGGGCAGAAGTCCTGCAAACACCTCCTGGAGCCTAGCCACTAACTGGTTACCAAGGCCTTGGGCGACCCCAGAACTCCCAAAAGGGAACCTGCATTTAGGTACCATGCCAGGAGATGCTGTTGACTCCTGGAAGCACAAGTTCTCAGGCATCCTTCCAAGCAGCCCATGCGGCATTCTAGATGCCAGGATGTGGAGAAGAGACATGCAAGAACCCCCCAAAGGAGGCAGGGCTCGATGAGAGGTGGGGATTCATGTGATCCAGACCTGCCATCCCCAGGCTGTGCTCCCTGATCCCAACAGGTGCCACCCAAAAAACTGTGATCCCAACAGGAAAGGATGAAAAACATGGAGATGTCAACCACAGAGCTAGAAGCCCCGGGTGCCGGATTATCTGTGTACAGAACTCCTTTCCACACCTGTAGCTGTAGCCTGGCACCTCCCCGCCCTATCTAGGAAGTTCAGAGACTCAGAGTTACCAACCCTATCTCATCCAGCAAAAGCAAAGCTCTACACCAGCAGTAAGATCAACTTACAACTTTATGTTTAATTGGAGTTCCCATCTTTAGTCCCGCAAGACTTCAGACCCATTTCCTTCATTGGTCCCCATTGCCATCAGTAGGCTAAGCCATGAGGAGCCAGGCTGAGAGAGCTCAGGTCACTTGTCCAAATACACACAGATGAGAAATGGCAGACCTAGAACTTGGCAGCTCCCATCCACCGTCTGGTCTTTCTGCTCTATACAGTGCCTCTGACAGTCTTCCAGAGGCTAGCCCAAAAATGTCCTCTTCCTAACACTAGTGACTGATTCTGGGCTCCATTCTACTCTGGAAAGAATCCCTGAGGTGTATGATAGCACAACACAGCTTCCTGGATCCAAATAGAACTCCCCCCCCAACACACACACAATGAGACCAGGGAAGGACTGTGGCCCCATTACCCACCCAGCATCCCAGAGCACTCATCTGTCCCAGCCCCTGGCCTTTGCACATGTTATTGCTCCTTTGTGGCATGCCTTTCTCATGCCCATGCTCCCCACCTAGCCAAATCCTGCCAAAGACTGTCACCTCCTGATGGAGCTCCTGCTAACTTGTGCTGTAGACTCTAGTTCACAAGCCTTTCTGAAGCTCAGCACCAAGGTCCCTGCGTGTCCTTGATTTCAGCAGCCTGACAGGAACTCCATAAGGGTTGGGCAGCCTCTGCTGCCTCTCAGCCCCTCTTGCCTGGCATGATAGCGTGTAAGGGCTTGGTGAGTGAGTGAGTGCAGGCTCCCGAAGGCGCTAGGAGTGTGGCGATGTCTGCCTTTCCAGTCTGCTGTGTCAGAGTGTGAACAGGGCCACAGTGGTGCTGTGTGAGCCCTGGTCCTGACAAGGTGTTTGAAAGCCAGAGGATATTAAGCTCAATTTGCCCTTGGCCTTGAATACGTTTATCAGTTTGTGGGCCCAAGAAGGCACAGATGCAGAGGGCAGAGCCCCCTGGGGGGGCTAGGAGCAGGCCAGTCAGAAGCCTGGGTGGGGGTGTGGAGGTGTGTATATGCGGGTGAGGGTATGTGGGTGTGTGTAATGGCAGGAAAGGCCTATTTGATGGGAATTTGGAGCAATGTTTCCAATCAAATGCCCTGCCCTTCATAGTGGATAGACACCACTGTTCTGGCTGTGCCTTATTGGACATTTGTTTTATACAACTCTTCACTGTGTAGCCTCGGCTGGTGTCTTAGTTTGGGTTTCTATGACTGTGAAGAGACACTGTGACCACAGAAACTCTTGTAAAGGAAAAAAGTGAACTGGGGTTGACTTACAGTTTCAAAACTTCCGTCCATTGTCATCATGGCAAGAAATGTGGTGACATGTAGGCAGACATGGTGCAAGAGAAGGAGCTTGGAATTTTACATCTTGATCTGCAAGCAGCAGAAGGAGTCTGTGTCCTACATTGGACGTAGTTTGAACTATGAGGCCTCAAAACCCCTACAGTGACACACTTCCTCCAGCAAGGCCACACCTACTCCAACAAGGCCACACCTCCTAATAGTGCTGCTCCCTATGGGTTAAGCATTCAAACACATGAGTCTATGGGGGTCATGCCCATTCAAACCTCCACAGCTGGCCTCAGGAACCTCTTGATTCAGCTCCCCAGGTGGTAGTACACACCTGTAATCCCAGATGCACCCTGCCTGTCGCAGAGCCAAACACCGAGACACCATTGGGGTTTTCAGATGGGGTGGGCACTAAGGAGATATACAGGCTTGGAAGGGACCAAAGGAAAGCAAGAGGGAGAAAACTATGTTGCCATAGGTCGTAGCCTAAGACTGCTACAACAATCCAAGTTCCTCACTCTCCTGAGCTGTGCACCCAGTCTGATCTTTAATAAAGACTCTGGGCTCAGGGGATAAAACTATAGCTTATGAGTTCAATCCCCGGGTCACACGGTGGAGGAAAGGATGAGTGGTGAAGCTGTCCTTTGGCTTTCAGAGGCGTGCGTGCCTGAGTGCACACAAACACCACACACATAAATGAATAAAAGGAACAGACAAAGGAGTTGTAAAGACTCTAAGACTATTAGGGCTGTCTGAGCACTGGGCAGCACAGCACAGAGTGAGGCCTGGCTGTGCCTATTTTCTGCCCTGGTCCCCACTGGTTGAATGTCCTATAGAAAGCCTATCAGAAGCACACTGCAAGTTTTAATTGCTTTTTAATTTTTTGTTTATATTTATTTTATTTTATGTGTATTAGTGTTACCTGCATGTTTGTCTGTAAACTATGTGTGTGCCTGGTGTCCAAGGAGGTCAAAGGAGGGCATCAGACTCTTGACTCTGAAGTTATTAGAGGGTAATAAGTCACCCTGTGGATGCTGGAAACTGAATCCAGATCCTCTGAAAGAAGAGCTAGCTCTCTCATGACCACTGAGCCACTTCTCCAGGCCCCATCATCAGTTTTAAATGCAGACTAGCCCCCAACAAACACCATCACCACCATCCTCCCTGCAAATATAAAAACTGGTGAAGAAAGCCAGATGGTATGAAGATAAAGACCTTCAGGCCAAGAGGGGTGTGTTGACCCAGCAGCAGAAGCCTCTGAGATCACCAAGAGTTCTATGCTTGTGTTATGCTTGTGTGTCTCATGTGTGTGTGTGTGTGTGTGTGTGTGTGTGTGTGTGTGTGTGTGAACGTACCATAAACCTTTTAGACTAGAAGCCAAAATATTGACCTTTTATTTCAACATGTAAATGTTCTAAATTTAAGGATTAAGGAGAAATTATAAGTAAGTATTTCAGAGGGAAAAAAAAAGAGTGAACAGGCAAGCCGGTCTCTCCACTGAACATTCCAGTTAGATGTTTTCAGACACTCTTCAAGTGAAGGCCAGCCAGAGTAATTTTAGCAGCCTAGGAGTCAAGAGCCTGCAACTGCTCACTCCACTTTCAAAGGCTTCCGTGGTTCGTTTTTGAGAGCCATTCATCCTGAGGTTCAGCAAGTGGCCTTGAGGGCACACGGCCTCACATTCCGAGGTAGGTGCAGCTTGCCGGCAGCTGTGTTTTGAGAATTCCCTGAGCTTCTGCCCTTAGATGTGCTGGGCTCGGTGATTGCTGTAGCTCCCTGTGGTTGGGAGTTTGCAGGTCATCGTTGCTCTGATCAGTTTTTAATGCACTTATTTTTCCAGCTAACAAGGGCCTGTTGCATGCTGGGTCCTGTGCTAGCCACCAGGAGCTGTAATGAATGAGACCACTCTAGCTACTCCACAGAACGCTCAGCAAAGCGGGGAGCGAGAACGGGTGGCTTTTCTTCAATAGGAAGTTCTCTTTTTACTATGTGAATGCCAGTACAAAATGACAGCTGGCCTGTCCTCTGGGATGCTTTCAGGCAGACTTATGACAGCCAGCTCCTGGACACCGGCCCTGGGTCTTGGTCTTGATCCTCTATGATCCCCAAATAAGACAAATGGAGGTTTTTTAGATATTCTGGAGGCTACCTTAGCTTTCAGGGCAAGTAGTTAAACTCCAAAGAGGCCTTTGATACCAAGAAGTACTTCACGGTAACACGGAGAGGAGAGAGATCAGCCAACAGAGCCAAACGCTGAACCACCAGCTCTGATCCGATTTATCCCGCCACGTGGTTTTGTTGAACAGACAAAGGACAGCCCAATGTCTGCAAATGGAGGAGTGCTGCCTACCACCAGAGATCATACATACATGTTCATTGCTGCTCTGTTCACAATAGCTAGGACTTGAAAGCAGCAGATGGATGCGTAAGGAAAAGGAACATAGCACACGGGGAACTTTATGCAGAGGGGAAGATGAGATCTTAAGGAATTGGAAGGAGCATGGGTGATGGATACAAAAGGCAGAGAGGGGACTATCTGTCTGGGAGAAGGAAGAGAAACAGCCTGAAGGGGTAGGGAACCATGGAAGGACAGGAGGAAGGGGATACATGAAAACTATGGATGATAATATATGTGAAGTAAATTCTGACACAGGCTACAGAATGGATGAACCCTGGGGGAGCAATGCTAAACAATATACCAAGTAACTCCACATGAGCTTCCTGGTGTAAGAGTCACACCCATGGAGAGCAGCACAGTGGCTGCCAGCAGCTGGAGGAGGAGGGACTTACTGTGCAAGGGGCACAGGGGTTCCACCTGAAGACCCCAGGGAGGGGCGGTGATGTAGGCTGCACATTACAAACTGACTGGGTGCCTCTCGACAGCGATTCACTGGCGAGGGCAGTGAGATGGCGCGGCAGGTAAAGGCACTTGCCTCCAAGTCTGACGATGTGAGTTCAACCCTGGGACCCACGTGGTGGGAGGAGAGACTGGACCCTGAAAGTTGTCCTCTGATCTGCACATTTGTGAGAGTGTGTCTGTTTGTGTGTGTGTGTGTGTGTGTATGTGTGTGTGTGTCTGTGTGTGTGTATACACAAACAAACTCTTGTTTAAAATTAATTAATAGCTCAGGCAATAAAATCCTTGCCACTCAAGCACAATGACCTGAGTTCAGAACTGCAGAACCCAAGTAAAAAGTTTAGCATGGTGGGACATGCCTGTAATCCCAGCCTTAGGTGGAGATGGATGAAGTTCATTGGCAACCCATCCTAACTAAATTTATGAGCTTCGGTTTCAATGAGAGACCTTGTTTCAAAAATTAAAGATGGAGAGCAATCAAGGAAAGACCTCAGGCCTCCATTTTAGGAGCATCCAAGCGCACATCCTCCTGCACACACATGCACATACCACACACATATTCTACATCATGCACGGAAAACAAAGATTCACATGGTAACTTTTATCTTCCTATATATCTTAGCACAGTAAAATAAAAGGAACCTGTGGTTTGCAGAACATAGAAGAAAAACATAGATCCAGCTATAGTCAACACTCCACACCTAGAAGGGCCTTGTCCACATTCCAATGACCCCACGGTATCCAAGGTAGACTTGCTCCATGTGGCAATCACTGCTGTCTAGGCACCTGGCACCTAACGGGAGTCTCAGCACACAACACCATCGTCTCTGGTGGCAGAGGAAGCAGGCTTCAGGTGCTGCCACTGCCTGCTGGTCAGTGTCCCCTGCCCACTACTGACCTGTGATTCTGTTGCAGATTGCATCCCTGCTCAAGAACAAAGACCGCATCCAGTCCACCCAGATTGTCACCCCCAATGACGAGGACAGTGACATCAAGAAAATTAAGAAGGTCTGTACCGTCCCTGGCTGGCAGTGCCCACTTGATATCCCACGTATCCTTATGGCATGGCCCCCCCACCCAGTCACCTCAGTTCCAGAGATGGATCCAGAAGTCACTTGCCTCTTTTGACACCAGCCATACTTTCTGGGTGTCCCTGTGAGTGAAGGTGATCTAGCCCCATTTTATAGAGACAAGGGAAAGGAAGAAGGAGATGGAGCCAGGACCAAGGTCTAGGAAGTTCCCTTTAAGAGTGTTCCTCCAAGTACCGTGCAGGCTCACCAAGACACCTGGGGTATCTTTCCATCATCACTTATCTGCTTGCCCCTCCTGCAGCCCCTCACACACACACACACACACACACACACACACACACACACACATACCTCACAACTGCACACTCCCCAGCAGGGCTCAGAAGGGAGCTGGCCTCCATAAGACCCCACAACCAGCCTCTACTTCGGCTCTAACAGAGTTCCCAAGGGAAGAGATAATTTACAACATGTCAGGGACCTGCCCAATAGCCAGGATAATAACAATACCACTCCACAGTGCCACAACACAGGGAAGGGAGCTGGCTATGTTTTCATCTTGCCAGACTGAAGACAAGAAAAATGGTTCACCCTAAGAACGGCAAATGAAAAAAAAGAGGATCTTCTTTGTGAGGTTTGCAGGAAGGACACCATGACATGCAGACCAGAAACTGCAAATATATCCCACAGGCCAAGTCCAGCCCTCCCCAGTGCATATGGCTTTCAGCCCATCCATGTATATTTTCCCATTTATATTTGTTGCTAGTGCTTTAAGAGCTAAACACTTCATGTGGAAATCTGAATATCTAGTTTCTCAAAAATAGAAATCGCAGCATTTATTAGCCACTTTCTACGTGCCAGATGCTATTCTGGGAGCCCGAGGCAGGTTAAGTGGATCTTCAGTAAAAGCCTCTGAGATTTGATTATCTTCCCCTTCTCATACTGGGGAAGCTGAGACACAGAGAGGCCAGGTAACCTGTCAAAGCTGACACAGCTAAATATTTGCAGGCAGACATTCAAACCCTGACACCAGTTCTCAAGCCCGTGAGCTCAGCTGCATGACCGTGTGGTCTCCTGGAGAAGCAGGAGGTCTAAGAGCCTGGACCACATCCTGTACAGTTAGCAGTGCCAGCCGCAGGCAGAAGAATTTGCCCTCTCCCATTCCCAAGCCAGCCACATGGGTATGCAGGAGCTGTCAGGCTCATATCAGCAAATATGAAGATTTGACACCAGGTCCCACCAAGGCAGGGACAGCTGGCTCTGCTGTGGTCCCTGAATGTCTCAGTGCACCTCTCAACTCAGGGCAGCCCTTTCTGCTTGCTCAAATCCACCCCCATATCTGTTTCTTGGTGATTTAAAGCCCTCCCTTTTCTACAAAGACCTCCTTTCCTTGGAGGTGAATCTGCACTGCAGGCTTGTTTGCTGTCCATGACCAGGGTGCTTCAGTAAAGTAAAGTATGCTGGCCTTGGTCTCTGTATCCCTCCCTGAGCAGATCGTGAGCTTGTGCACATCCCAGAAACCCCAAGAGTGCAACAAGTAGATGACCCTAGATTAGAAACCTGTGCAGCTGAGGAAACTCTGTGTGTGTGTGTGTGTGTGTGTGTGTGTGTGTGTGTGTGTGTGTGTGT